TATATATATATATATATATATATATATATATATATATATATATATATATATAAACTTATCGCTAACTCAAACCCTCAGTTAATGAGTTAATGTAGGAGCAACTTCCTTGCATGTTCTTTCAATACCAATATATATATATATATATATATATATATATATATATATATATATATATATATATATATATATATATATATATATACAGAAAAAAACACACACTGAAACTTTTTAGTCTCTGTGAAATAAGAAAACTAATAAAAATAAAAAACGAACAAGAGGTAATCCACTAGTATTTAGGGTGGTAGCCCTCCTACCAAAGACTACTTCACATCAATCATTGGTACTCAATGTGCTGTTAGGTGCAGTGTGAAGTGTGCTATATTTAGTGTGCTGTTACAAAACAAAAAACATGGTAAACAGTCCTTCTTTTGATCCTGATCGGTTAAATGTTACTGTTTCCATTAAATCATTAGACAAATTGAGCTATGAGTTAAAAAAAGAAGTAAGGGATCTTATAAGAATTAACAAAGAAAAAGATGATACAATCACAAAACTTATGAAAAGAATTAAACAACTAGAATCAAATAAAAACTATAGAAATACAACTCTTAGCGCAATACAATAGAAATACAACTCTTAGCGCAATACAAAATTCGATTCCATCATTAACATTGTAAGCGGTGAAGCAAAAAGTTCTGAACAATATAGGTTCATGACAATATATCATCATTTGAAATAAAAAACTCATTAATGAATGCTACAAAATCTGAATAAATTTGGTGCCTTATCAAGTATGGAAACGAAACTATTAAGCTTGGCTGTATTTATCGTCCACTGTTAAAATCAAAAGTTTTTTATAATGCTGAAAAATCAAATAACACTATCATTGAAATGTCAAGCCAAGCTAACGATGAAATAATTCAAAGTATACAAACAGCAAAAATAGAGTTAAACATAAAAATATATACTAGTATACTCATATGTGGTGATTTTGATTTTCCATATATCAAATGGTATGAAGATGGTTCTGTTCAAGTTAATGGTAATAAAAACAGCACTGGTGCTAGAGTTGTAGATTTTATTAACAATATAAGCATCATTCAAAATGTAACATTTCCAACATTCATCCAAGAAAATAAAATGCCTAAAAATATATTGGACCTGGTCATAACTGAATCATCAAACCAAATCAAACACATAGAAAATTTACCAACACTTGGATTAGCCAGTCAAGGCAATTTGGTACTAAAATTTAATTATAATTTATCAAGTAATGAAGATAAAACAAATTATTTAACATTCAAGTACAATTACCATAAAAGTGATTTCAATTCTATCATTAAATGTTTTCAAAGATTGGTTAAAAGAGTTAAGCAACTTAAATATAAATGACAGTTACAAAGATTGATTAAAAGAGTTAAGCAACTTAAATATAAATGACAGTTACAAAGATTGGTTAAAAGAATTAAGCAACTTAAATATAAATGACAGTTACAAAGATTGGTTAAAAGAATTAAGCAACTTAAATATAAATGACAGTTACAAATTATTTTTGAATCATTATAACTACATAACAATTTGTACCAAAACATAACATTTGTACCAAAAGTGATGTGTAAGAATAAAAATAAACCTCTGGCTCAATCGTACCCTTTTAATTCTCATAAATAAATAAAAAATAGATTATGGCATAAAAATTAATCTTCAAAGTGGAAAATACCTGAGCTTGTCAAACAATACAAAAAATTAAAATCTTACAAAAAAGATTAACTATTAAAAAATTTGAACATAGTTTAGCATTTGATACAAAAAATCCCAAACTTCTGTTTAGTTATGCGAATAGTTCACACAAAATCAGATTAAACAAAATAGATTCATTGCAAACACATTAAATGCTCAATTTAAATCAGTCTTCAACAATTACTCAGTTAACAAAGATTCTCCATTACTTTCAGATCGTACAACTGAGCGTTTATCAAGCCTTAATTTTTCAATAGATCATATAAAAAATAGATTAAAAAATTTAAACCCAAATAAAACAACCGGACCGAACAATGTCCACCCAATGATATTAAACCAATGTGCTAATGTACTATCTTTACCTCTAACAATTATATTCAACAAATCACTATCAGAAAAATCAATTCCTCATGCATGGAGTAATGCAAATGTTACTCCACTATTTAAAAAAGGTGATACCAATGTACCAAGTAATTATAGACCAGTTTCTCTTACATCTAATCCATGTAAATTAATGGAAAGCTTAGTAATCAATGACATTGTAAATCATCTATCAAAACTAAATTTATTGTCTCAATCTCAACATGGTTTTGTAAAGAATAAAGCATGTGTTACAAACTTATTAAAATCCAATGATTATGTTACAAAATGCTTAGCTAACAACAAAAATGCAGTAGATGTGGTATATCTGGACTTTTCAAAAGCTTTTGACACCAGCTCTCACAAATTTTTAATCATCAAGCTTAAAGCTTATGGAATA